AGACAGGAACTAGGAAATGGGAGAGAAGGAAGCGGCTATCGTGATTGTCAACAATCTGTGGGGCTATTTGGCGGAGAAGGGAGGAGCGAAGGGGTAGCTTGAAAGCAAGAGACGATCCTAAAAGGGCTGTTTCTAAGACGTGAGAGACTGAAGCTTGTTTACATGGGGATGGGGAGGTGGGAGGGCGTGGCATGGAGACAATAGGACAGAACTTCTGAGAATGTGTAAATGAGAACAGGTGGAGGGACTGGCCTCGGATGGGAGGAGGGACACTGCCTTCACCAGAAGAGACAGGTAGGACATGAGTACAGAAGCAAAGTTCCCTCTGATCGACTCGAGTGGTTTTTCCAGGGAAGTAGGGGGCACAGAGGGTGAAACATCTGGTTAAAGGGGAGACCGTTGAGACTGAGAGAAAGGGAAGATGATGATGAGGCAGTGCTGAGGGTCCAACTGAGGTCGATGCCTGAGTGTACCCCACTGGATGTGTGCTTTACATTGGTTTCCAGCGGTGTCAGCTGCCCATAGCAAGAGCAGAGAAGGCTGATATTTGTGTAATTCAGGACCGGTTTAGTCAGATGGGTGTGACCAAAAGATAGAGGAGCTGGGAGTTGAAAGCGTTTACTAGAGAGAGATTGTTGTTATGAAGCTGTGCTAGGTAGAGAGGGGAATGAGAGAAGGAGGGAGTGGAAGGATGGAGAGAGAGTGGCAGGACCCAGGGCTTGGAGGTCTTCGTGAAATCAGGGTGAGCGCAGAGGGGTGCCTGAGGAGCAAGCTGGGATGAGAGGAAGTGGTGACTGGAGAAGGTGATGAGAGCCTTAGTGATTTAGAAGATGCAGCCCTTTCAGATAATAAGGCTCAGCAGCCAGCCCTGGTGTGGGGGTAGCAGTGGGGGGAGGAGGGGGCAGAGGTGAGTGAGAGAAAAGGACCGTGTAGATGAGGTAGGAGGGAAACTGAGGAGCAGAGGGTGGGTACTTCGGTGGACACTAACACTTCCATGAATGGTGTGGTAAAAGGACTGTAAGCCCGGTCCTAAGTCTTTGAAAAATGGGGTAAAAATGAGGTCTACATACCACCAATGTATTCATAGGGCAGAGCCTACAAAGGTTTGAAAGTTTTTGAGAGGAGAAATGGCCTGAGAAGCAGGGACACCGACCTCACTTCCCAACACTGGGGTTAATGGGCAAGAGGGAAACTAAACAGCCCCACAGAAGAGGCTGGGGGAAGCAGTGTTCTAGAACACCACCAGGGCTCATTGCGACAGTGGTTCTCATCCCCGCTCCGCACGGAGATTCGTCCAGGGAGCTTAACACATACCCAGGCCCAGGTCGCACCCCTGACCAACAAGCAGCATCTCTGGAGCGTGAGGCTATGTGCCACTTACTGCTCATCAGTCATTCTAACATGCAGGTGGATTTTTTTATAACCACTGATTTAAGACAAGGAGGTGAAGGGGACTTTGAAGAAGGAATTGTAGATACAAAGAGATTTCTTTTTTTTAAAATATATTTTATTGATTTTTTTACAGAGAGGAAGGGAGAGAGATAGAGAGTCAGAAACATCGATGAGAGAGAAACATCGACCAGCCGCCTCCTGCACATCCCCCACCGGGGATGTGTCCGCAACCCAGGCACATGCCCTTGACCGGAATCGAACCTGGGACCCTTCAGTCCACAGGCCGATGCTCTATCCACTGAGCCAAACCGGTTTCGGCAAGAGAGATTTCTTGATTAGGATTGATAATGGCCTGATGTACAAACCGAACTTCCAGAGTGTCCGCCAGGAACTCATACTCACCAGGAGTTGAGTGCTAAGCACCAACAGACCCTTCTTCTCCCAAGTTCACTACTCCCTTTTGTCTTACAGCAGAGATTTTGATCAAATGGCTAGAGGTGATCTTCAAGAGGATCCTGTGTGATTTTTACCTTTCTATGTAATCTGCCTCCATACTTTCCAGGTGATGTGAAGGAAAGCAGGTGTGGTCAAACCAGCATTTATGACGAGGAGTTATGGGTAACTCTCAGCACTGACACAGAGCAAGCCACATCTTTCCTCTGTGCCTCCGTCCGACTCCTGTAAAATGTGGTGGAGGATGACAAGGATGCTAGTTAACTTTTACAGTGCAGTGTGAGCCAGCCCCTAGACTTGTGGTTTACATTCACCATCTCATTTAGTCCACACAATCCCTGGGAGTGAGTAGTACATGAATCCCCATTTATAGGTGAGGCTACTGGGGCTCCAGAGAGATAAGTGACTTGCCCAAGGTCACCAACTAGTAAGTTATAGAACCACAGCTGGCCTCAAGGGACCAAGGCCTTCCTTACTCCACTTCATGCTACTTAACTGCAAAGCAGTCTACCTTTCCTCCTAGTTCTAACGCTGTGATACTTTAACTCCCATGGGCTTTCTTTCCCCTAAGAGACAGGGTAGATTGCAGATTTCAAAAGCTTTGGAGGGGCAGCAGTTTTTCTGAAAAGATAAGGCAGGCTCCTGAAGTCATCTGAGGTGCACAGAGGGGAGATGACATCATGGGGTTTCCTCAGCCTATTCCCTGCAGGTGCTCCCCTGAGGACTTCCGGGGGAGTGACACAGTTGCTGGCTTACCTCCCCCCCCCCCCCCCCCCCAGCTCCCAGAGCCATCTCTTCTCTGGCAGGTGGACATGTAATCTCACCTGGTCAGGACGATGGGCACCTAATTGGATGGTGAGGCTTCAGGATCTAACAATTGCCAGGAAGATTCTGGGTGGTATTTCTTATCCTTGTAAAGTTCACTCTAATTCTTTTCTTCCTGTATTCTATACGTTTAAATTAGGTAAATTTAATCTCTCCCTTCTTGGCTCAACAAATTAAAATGCAACTATTAATGAAAATAATTTCCCTTTAAAAATATATCCTGAAACTCGATGTGGGGCATTTCCAATATACCCGTAAAGCAAACAAGACAGCTTAATTGTTTGTTTCTCCAAGGGAAGAAGCTAAACTCGGAATTAATTTGGTTCAGCCTGTGAAACAACTCGGTTGCTCTGCCTAATTCTGCCAATGAAAGAACTTTTCCCAGATACAATTAGCATGTAAATCGGCGGCAGAGCGAGCAAGGGGCCCTGGCGGCGACCCCGGCAGGACGGAGGTGCCTGTAGGAGAACCGCGAGGACCCTCCGCCTCGGGCCCGCGCCAGGGGCGCAAGGAGGAGCTCAGGAACCCAGCTCGCGCTGGCCCTGCCGTCAGCAGCCAAAAGCTGGCTGTTAAATAATCTGGCTGTTAAATAGTGCAGCCGAGGATGGAGCCGTCCTGGCCCACCAACGCCCTTCTCCCGATCCCAACCGGATTCGAAAAGGACCTCCGGGAGCCAGCCTACACCCAGGGTGCCGGAGCGCACAGCCAAGCCCGCCGCCCCAACCCTCCCCACCCCGCCCCAACCCCCGTCCCCCTCGGAGCCAGCACCCCGGGTCCCGGGGCTGCGCGCGCACCTAGAGTCGCCCTCCTCAGCCCCCTCCACCACCCGGAATCTGTACGGCTTTGGTTTGGGAAAGGTGGGGATAGCGGCCCCTGCTGGCAGCTCTGGCGAACAGCAGGGAGATCGACTTTCCCCCCATTTACCATTTCCCCACCTTTTCCAGGTGGGTTGTGGAAATAATAATAATAATAATGATAATGATAATGATAATAATAACAACAACATATACATGGACGGTGTTGTCGCGTGTGCACTTATTCTCCGTGAGTCCTCACGAGCAGGTGTCTGTATATAACTTGGGTTCTCAGCCCATTAGTGACCCTAGTCCCAACTATGGCACAGGTACAGTTTCTAATGTCATTTATTTGAGGGCACTCGGCGCAAGGATGACCAGACTCCAATCTTCCTCGCAGCGCTCTTCTCGCCCGACCCCTGGCTAGTAAATATTGCTTCGAGAACGGCTTGGCCGCCCAGTGTTACTTTCTTTAAAGGCCGTTGAGTACGGCCGCGCCATCTGCGAAGCCCACTGGGGAAACATCGGCCAAAGCGCGCAACTGTTTGCACCGCGAGCGGGCGCGGCAGGGGGCGCGCAATGGCGGGGCTGGGGGGAATTGGTATGCCCGGAACAGTTGGCACAAGTCTCTTACAGCAAGGCTTTTTGGCGAACGAAACTTCAAGCGACGGAGGATGGCTGCGTCTACCATTCTTCGTGAAATCACATAACAATAGCGCCTTGGAAGAAGTTGAGATTTACTTCTTCCATGAAGCCACTGGGTTCTCATTGGAATTGTTTGCGTTTTATTTAAGTTTATTTATTTCTAAGAACAGTCTACACACTTCTAAATTTTAAAACAAATCGTCGTTATTAACACCATTCTTTGTACTATGGTTTATTTGCTTCTTAACATGCTTTATTAACGTGTTGTATACGCGTTCACTCATAGCTGTGTTCCTATCTAAGTGTATTTTTAACCGCGCCGGCTTCTATCCAATTCATTTGGGTGCGTAGAGCGTCCATCACTTCTGGAATCTACCTCTTGATACAGTAATTAGAATTAGGAAGGCTAACCGTTCACTTACCCTCATGCTTTAAAACTTTTCCACTTAAGAAAATCGATGGACAAATCCTTTCTTGTAACTCGCTCCTGCGCTACATCTATTTTTATTTATTTTTCTCATGTGGCAGGACTCAGCAATACTGTCCTGGATTTTTTTTTTTTTTTTTTTTTTTTTCCATGCTAGAGCAGATGCGAGGGTGGGGGAGGCAAGGGCTGGGCTCCGCCGGAGTCGCCCCCTCCGGGCCTTTGCCCAGAGAGCATCGGCGGGTCCAGGAACCGCGATGGAAGGAAGCTCTACTGGTCAGTCGGTCCAAATCTCCACCTGCCGCCACACGGCGTAGGTTCCCTCTCTCTGTCTCGCTCACTCGCATGCACACACAAACACCACAGCTCTCCTTTGGGTCGGAGGAGAAGCCAGCCAAAGTAGGCGGGGTTGCAGGAGGAGAGTCCGCTGTGCGTAATCCAGTCCGGGACTTGGCTCAGCCCGGGAGCGGCGGCCTCTCCAGTGACAGAGGAGTAGTGAGCGGCAACGGGTGAGGCTGCAGCCAACTCCGCTCCCCTCGCACTCGGCTGCCCAGGCGCTCGGGACACAGCAGCGGCGCTTTCCCCTGGGCTGACTGCCCGCGATGTCCACTTAGGAGCGGCGGCAGCGGCCAGCATCGCCACACCCGCGGCACACCGCTCCGGGTCGCAGAACGGGGCTAGAGGGTGCACCCCTGCCCCAGCCCCCACCCCGCCCCCCACCCTGAAATGACTTGTTAATCGGCGCAGACACTACCGAAGGGACTCGCTGGAGTGGAATCCAAGTGGAATTTGGATTTGGAGAAGAGTTTCTTGAACATTTACTCCTTCCTTATTGTTTTTTTTTTTCTTTCTTTTTTCTGATCCCCTTCTCCGCCTTTCATTGGAGATGAACACAGAGCTTTTGCATCCCAGAAAGTAGTCGCCGCGACTGTTATCCCCAAAGAGACAAGCACACATGTAGGAATGACAAAGGCTGGTGAAGGAGAGAGCGCAGCTCGCGGCCCGGAGAGATCGTCTCGATAATGGATTACTAAATGGGATCCACGCTGTACCAGCCCGCTCCGAGCCCTGGCCGCCTACCCGTCGATGCACCGAAAAGGTACGGCTGGGACGCCCCGGTGCGCTCCACCTCCGGGGCGGCTCGCCTCCAGCTTGCGGGTCTTGGGGCCGCGGCCAGAACGCTCTGGCTGCTTTGTGGTGCTTGCGTTTTATTTTGTCTCGTATCTCTGTCTCCTGAGCATTGCCCGGCCCTGGGGACGCAGTCGCTATCCCTGCCGGCCGCTCCTCTCTGCCCTGAGCCCCAGAGACCGCCGGGCTCCGTGTTGCGGGCTACCCCACCCGCGCCGCACACAACGCCCGGTGCCGCCCGGGACCGCGACCGCGACCGCGACGGCGCGGATGGCCGTCTGGCCCGGGCATGTGTGTGCAGGACCGTCTCGTCCTCACTTTGGGGCCAGCAGGGAGCAGAGATGCCCCATGAGGGTGGGATTCTCGGAAGCGCCGTGTCCTGGTGCGAAAGCCAGGAAAGGGGTTCTGCCCTCGAGGGCTGAAAGAGGTGGGGTGGGAGAGCGCTGTTTTCATCCATAACCAGGTTTGGGTTTCGGAGTGGGAGAATGGGTTCCGCAGAGACGGTGGGAAAGAGAAGGGGATCTTTTGTTGTCCGCGCGGGTCTGGGCTGGGCTCTGTGTGGTGTGTAAACTTGTAATAGCCCTGGCACCCGCGCGCCCTGCCACTTGGTGATAGCCGGGTTCCCGCGGCCACTGGCACCAGGGGTTCCGGGCTTTGTTTGCTCGAACGAGCGCCCAGGAGCGGTCTCCTTCTGGGGTGTGCGGCGCTCCGCCCTGGGCCCCATCCCTCGCCGCAGCTCCTGGGCAGTGAGGACAGCATCTGTCGGGGCTGCGTCGTCCCTCTCCAGACAGAGCCTGCCACTCCGGGGCGGGTGCGCGCCGCGACCTCCTCCAGAATCTCTGGAAAGGAGGTTCCCGGGAGGTGGGAGGGTGGGAAGACCTGGCAAGAGATGGTCCAGTGCTGCTACCCAAGCAAGGGCTCTGCCCCTGCCCCAGGTTCTGGGTCTGCGAACTACTAGCTACGTTCTAGAGCTCTGCCTCTCGGCAGCGGCGCTCGGGAGCAGCCCGGCTGTGCCCACCCACCCTGCTTGGCCCTGATGGGGTGCGAGGTGGCTATTCTCCAGGCTCTCCTGCTTCTTCTCAGCTCCGCTGTGGTACGCAGTGCAGAGCAGGATCCTGATGTCCGCTCCCTCTTCCCTCAACACGAGAGGCGCTGGGGGAGCCAGGGAGCGTGCGGGTGTCGGGAAAGGAAACAGGACTCTGCTGCCTTTCCCGCTCCCTCTCCGCCCCTTCGCCCAGCGACTCCTCCTTCTTTTCCAGCACCGGTCACTCCACCAGGCGCCTCTGGAAAGTTTCTCTGAAAGCCAGGGGCGGCGGGCATGACATGACTGGGGCTCAGCATGTGCAGCCTGCGAGAAACTGAACCCCAAGGGAAGCGGGTGGACAACCCAGGGTGCAACTAGGAGCGAGGTGCGGGCTTCTTTGGACAGTGGCGCCCCCGCTCCCCTCCCTCCACCCTCGACCAGCGGCTGCACTTGCTGTACCAGTCTCTCAAGCAATGGAAGGAGGGGAAGGTCAGGGTCAGGACTCGGGATGCTGATGCGGCCACTGTGGCCATCGGCTGGCGCGGGGGTGCGTGTGGGCATTCGCCTGGGCTGGCTGCCATGCAGGTACCAGTTCCAAGAGCAGCATCCCGGCCTCCGGAGCGCGCGCGCAGGTTTCCAGTCAGCGGGAGTCCAGGGAGGAACAGAGCAGGTAGCCTGGTGTGCGTGGAGCGGGGCTGCAACCTCTGTCTTCACAGCCAGAGCGAGCACTCGCAGGCCAGCCACCGCCTGTGTTGCAGGGGGCAGCCCCTCCAGCCCCTCACCGTCTGTCCATGGGCGAGAGATGGTTGCGTTGGGGAGGCCGTGGCCAGACACGGCCAGGGTGGGAATGCGCGCTCTGCTTATGCTGGATGGAAATCAAGTTGCCACTGAATGTGATCCGTGAAAGGTTTAAAAACACAGAAGCGCACGAGACACACTTTCGCACACTTGTTCGCACAACTTTTTTTTGCCTCCACTAGGAAAAGATCTTTAACCCAGTTGCAGCGTCCTGCCAGTAGGTCTCAGGAAAGCTATTTAATGCCCCCCAGCGCTGGTTTTTAAAGTCTTTTCCGAGTAGAAAGTCGAGCGCCTTTTCTTGCCTTTCTCTAATCCTGTTAATTGTCAGTTTTCCTTCCAACACATATCTTACCTTTGGCGTTAAGTCCAGGGGTTGCCACTGATGGCAGGGGGGAGACTGTTGGTTTGGGATACATGGCTCCTCTATTTTTTTTTTAATTCTTTCCCCAAAATAAAGATGCCTGTGCTCAATTCTGAATAAAAATATCTACTTGTTTACGCCTTATCCAATTGGCTATCAGGGTCGTAAAAAGAACATTTTGTGTTTTTTTCAGACCCTGTTTAGTCTGCATGGAGCAGTTTTATGATTTACAGTAAGCTTTGATTAAACCACTCCAGGCACCAAAGTTAATTATTAACCTAACCTTAAATACAGTGGCAGAACCGTGTCTCCACCTATTAACCTAAACTATCTGTTAAAAAATAATTGCATTGACTATTTGAATTTGGTTTACCCATGCTTGTTTACATGGTAACTCTTATTCAAATCTTGAGTAACCTCCACTCTCAATGTATATTCTGGTTTTAGGACATTCTTGAATGAGGCACCTTGCAAACCAACCTGAAAGCAAACAGGAATGAAATCAGATATAAAACTTCATTTTTATGTTAACGTGTTTTTTCAACTTGATATAAAGCAGCATTCTAGTTCATGTTTCTTATTTACGATGTTTGTGTTCATGTTTCTTATTTCTGACAATCTTCCCACAGTGTTATGTTTTGCTGTTAACCACCAGGTAGAGATGGGCCAATGTTATCCATCATGCATGTAATCCACCTGTGTAAATGTTCAGCAGACACCTAAAATCTTCATCTCAGGAGCCACCTGCAGAATATACTTATAGGCTGGAACATCTAAGTTTAAAGAGGTTAAAAATTCATAAGAATCAGTGTATAAACTTAACTAAATGTCTAATGAATAAATGAGCGAATGAAATAGTCACACGTGGTTCACATTTCTCCACTTACAGTGGACCTGTTTTTTTCTAGTGAAAAAAAAATCTATGCCTTCAAGTATGTGGTTATTATAAAGTAGCAATAAGTGCAACTCTTTATTTATGCACACAGAGACACAAACTTACACCCCTCAAGTTCTTTCAAAGTCTAGTGAATGCTTTCCTCATTAGAAAAATATAACATTTGCATTCTGAGTAGGCAGATAACATTGCCAAGTGTGTTGAATGAGAAGAATAGCAAGAATTAGGGAGACTTATCTTCATGCAATAAAAATAAGACACCCAAATTAAGAACTTTTATTAAATTCAAAATAAATACTCATGCTTTAAAAGTAAATGGGTAATTGCACTCCCATATAAAATGGAAGGAAAAATACTGTTTTGAACAAGGAAGTAAGTCAGATACTTTACTATGGGTGCATAGTGGGTTCAGCTCTTTTCCAAGCAGAACAAAAGAGTGTTTATGGGAGGAAAACTTTTTTTTTTTTTTTTTTTTACAATTACATGGCCAAGAGCTAATATATTCTCCCATCTTTTTTTGTTTGTTTGTTTGCAGAAAGGAATCACAGAACAAGCCAAAGTAATTGCAAATACTTTAATTAGCACTGTAAAGCCTGGGAAAGCCTGTAGCTATCACACCCCATGTTAGGTTTAGGAAATTGTCCAGCTCTCAGAGTGGGTGTTCCCTGGGTGTTCACACTTCCAGGGGGAGGTGCAGCCTGGAAGCATCCTGCTGTGCCCCCCACCTCCCAATATCAATCAATCTCTCTGTGCCTTTGGAGCCAAGTTGTCCCTGATAGTTCTATTCCAGGGTGAAGGCTTTTCTCATCTGCTTTAAATGTGCTGCAAGAGCAACTGAGCTATTCTCTGCTGGCAACCACAGGGTTGCCTCTTGGGGATATGGTAAGGTAGGGAAGGGAGGGAGGCATTTAATCCCTTTGAAATGGGCAAATAAGATATCATACCACACAAACCTCAAGGGGAGAAGGGAGCTCAGGATACTTTTCAGGCTGGGACTATTATAGTATAGGATATACACCAAAGTATCTTGCTTTGTGAAGCAGATGACTTACTGTAAAACTTTTTTATTAGAATTATTCTAATTACACTAATGGAGAGTGTCACATAAAACTATCAATACTCTGATGTCTCCCAAATAATGTGCATCTCTCAGGTAGTCAACATTCAAAACACCTACTTCTGGATCTTTCTCCCCCAAATATGCTTTTCTTAAATTCTCCATCCCGGTAAATGGCATGTTCCATCCTTTGAGTTGCTCAAGCCTAAAATCTGTGACTCTTTCTCTGTCCACACCCATTCCAGCTGCAATGCTGTTGGCATTCGGACTTCCTGCAGGCCTTCCACTTCTGGGGGCCACACACTGGCTAAGCCACTGAGCGCCCCTGCTGGGTTATTGTGCCTGCCTCCCCGCCTGTCTTCCTGTTTTGCTCTGGGCCCCCTACAGTCTTTTCTCCCTGCCATCCCCAGAGCGAAAAGGCTAAGCTAGATCAGGTCACTTCTGCTCAGCTTTCCCACTTCATCCCAGTGAAAGCCGAAGTCCTTCCTGTGGCTTTGTGGCCCCACATGATCTGCACTTGGGCCCCTACCTCGCTGACCTCCTCTCCTTGGGGTTACTTCAATGCCAGTTGTGCTCTCCTTGGTCCCTTGCAGGCTCTTTTATGGCTTGGGAAGGGTGTTGCCCCTGGATGGCTTCATGATTGTTCCTCACATTCCTTAGGTTTCTGCTCAAATGTCACTTTCTCAGTGAAACCTTTTCTGATCACCTTATTTACTTCACCCTTTTTCCTCAACACCTCCTACCGCCCTGGCCTGCCTCATTTTTTTCCCTTAGCACTTTCACAGCCCAGTGCACTATACGTTGTCCTAGTTTATTTTGCCCTCCACTAAAACATA